TGCCAGACCAGGACCGAGGGCCCTGGCTGGGTGTCTGGAGCATTGTCAGTTCTCTGCCCCTGGAGCCAGGTCCTGGGCACGGGCAGGGAGGAGTGAGTAGAGGGTGTGAGGCAGTGTTTCCCCTAACTTGTACCTTTGAGGGCAGGAAAATAAGCTTATGTTTGCATTTATTTTTCAATTTTATTCATTGTCATTTTAAGTTGACCAGAGAAACAAAAGAAAAGTGAGAAAATAAGCTGCCAGGTTCAGGACTCAAACCGAGTCACCCACGTGGAAGTCCAACCACCTTAACCACCATGCCACCTGCCAAGCTCTGTTCCCATTTAAATAGCACTTTTGTCTTTAATGTAAATAATACACAGCTACATCACGCACACGCGTGCAGCGAGGGGTGGTCCCGCCACAGTCCGTTCATGCTCAGGATTTCGGCAAGCATGCACGTGCACCATGATCCACAGCGTGGGAATCCAGCGCCTTAACCACTATACCACCTGTTGCTCCCCTGAATGTGCATTTCCTAAGGCCTGCAGTAAACTGATTGCAAGCCTGTGACTGCAACATTTACCCTTCTTTGTTTCTGTTTTTTGCTGTATGGTGCAACTTCTTGTAGGGGAACAGGAGGGGATAGTGAGAAATTGTCCCCAGGGAGGATGGCCCCACAGCAGTCTCTCTGGTCCTAGGGTTTGGGGCACAAGCACACACACTGGCATGATTTTCAAGCTGCTGGGTCCAGAACTTGACCACATACGAAACTTAAAAATCTTTAAAAACTCACAAAGGAGTTTCTAAGTTTGTAAGGTTTTATCACTGATGTTTTAAAATGATGTCCATAATACAGAAACTATTACAGAGAATAGGAAAATAGGGAGCAATCTCCACATTTTTGGCGTGGATACCATCTTGATATCAATACCTGGCAGAATATTCAAGAAAATGGAACGGGCTAGTAAGCTCAATGTATTAAATGCAAAGTTGCTAAATAAAGCAACACGTTTAGTCTAGTGAGAAAAAAAAAACAAATGAGCAAGGTGGGTTTATTTATGGGTGGAAAGTTGGTTTCACACTTGAAGGTCAGCAGACAGGACCTCCATTCCCGCAGAGCCAGCCGCGTGTGGGTCTGCCCTGCCCAGGCTGTGTGGACAGGCCGGCTTGTGGCCTTGGAGGCGCTCACCCTGGGCCGACCTTGGCCTTTGCATTTCCCGAGCGTGGACTTGGCAGTGCGCACGGAACCTCTTGCTGTGGTTTTGAGGTGGCAGCTGGTCTCCAGACCAGTTAGGGTGGAGCGGACATCTGCGCTGTACTGAGTTTCCTGGGAAGAAAGCTGGCATCTTTCCTCACCTGTTTAAGGCTTCCCTGGTGTCTAAGGTGGTGAATAGTTTGCATCAGGCGCCTTGGTACCCCCGGAACCTTGAACGTTACAGCGCGGGCTCTGCAGACGTGCCGGAGCGAAGGCCCTCGAGATGCGTCTCGGGATCAGCCGGGTGGCCCCGCTGCCTAAGCGCAGAGTCCTCGCAGCAGGGATTCGAGATGCGGCGGGCTGGCATTTCAGCAGCGCGGACGGCGGCTGTGGGGGCCCCAGCAGAGGCGCGTGGCTCCCGGGCGGTGGTCATTTCGCAAGCGAGGAGATGAGCCTGAGGGTTCCGGGAAAGACCGGCGTCACCGAGGGGCAGATGTCGCAGGAGGGGCCTGCCAGCTCGTGCTCTGGCCTGCCGGCGCCCGCAGCCAGTCGCTCCGCGCGAACTCCGCAGAGGCCATGCCCCCGTGGCGCCCCGGGCGGACCACGCAGGGCAGGTCTGCAGGGCCTCGAGTCCGGCCGGGCGCCGTTCCGCGCGGCGTTCGGCAAACGTGCATCTCGGATCCAGCGAGCGCTGCGGCTGTCCCAGAGAAGGGGGTGGGGGTGGGGGGCATAATTACATTTCATCAGACGCAATCCTGGAAGAAAACAGCACACGCGTCCCTGGGTGGGCTCGAACCACCAACCTTTCGGTTAACAGCCGAACGCGCTAACCGATTGCGCCACAGAGACGAAGGTGCCAGAGCTGGTTTGTTACAAAAGGACTATTTCACTTTGCTCAGTCTACACTGCTTACCCGTGTTCCAACGAGAGTCCGGGAAACACGCCCTCTCGTCCTTTGACTGACAGCGTCCGGTGCTGATGGGGCTTTGAGAAGAGACGCTAGCACTCGTTCTGTGAGAGCAGCGCCTGAGCGGACCGCGTGGGGAGCAGGCCACGCACCTGTGCCTGCTTTCCCAGCTCCCTGTGAGAATCAAAGGAAAGACGCCGGGCCGGAGTCTGGCTCAGTTCAGGGTCTCCGCTCGCAGTTAGTGGCGAGACACCCCGGGAGGCTGTGGGGTACCAGGGAGGAGTGGACTCACGGCTGCAGAGGTCGGGAACAGTGAGGTGCACCGCATAGCCCAGAGCCCAGATCCAGGAGTATACCCAGAACCTCCTGCGAGTCAGCGCCCTGCCACCCTCAACCTCAGGGGCCAGCCGGTGGAAGTGGTTAAGGGCACTGGACTCCCCACTCTCTGGTTCAAGCCCCAGACCTGGATACTTGCTCACGTGGGCTCTCTCTCTCTCTGGAAATATTATAATAACTAAAGTTGGGCACTGGACTCCCACAGTGTCGCCCACAATGTCGCCCTGGTTCAAGTCCCAGGATGCTTGCTTTCTCTCTCTGGAAAGCGGTGGCGTGGTGGCTAAAGGGTACTGGACTCCCATATGGCCCAGTACGGACCCGGAGGCTTGCTTTCTCACCTTCCCTCTCTCACTGTGTTTCTTTCTGGTCAAATTAAAATGAATGAATAAGCAAAATCAAATAAATAATTTTTAAAAAGTAAAGATAGTTAAATAAAAGGATTCTTCAAAAATAAATGCCAACTACAGATGTTAAATTGCCTGTGATACTATTATCTGTGTTTCAAAGAGTAAGGTGGCTGACAAACTGACCAACTCCTCCCTCCCTCCTTCCTCTCTCCCTCCTTTCTCTCTTCCTTATCTCCAAGAGTAAACTTGAGAGAAACTTCACAAAATACATCTGTAATTTCCTTTGGCGTTTCATTCTGGACCTGACAATTTTTGAAACGTGTGCATGTTTTTTCTTGGGCCTCCGCTGGTGGACGAGAAGCCTGCGGATGTGCTGACCCGGGCAGTATTCTCGTCTACTCCTTCCAGGCCCGTTTAAACCTAAACCCCGGGGGGGGGGCACAGATGGCAGACGGGTTGCACCTCTCGACTCCCACCTGGCTGACGCGGTGGCTTGAAACTCACGCTGGGCACGTGTGCGCATGCCCCAAATCCCAGGAGGAGGATGGAGAAGGGACTGTGGCATGTGCTTTCTTGCACGCTCCCACACAGGAAGACGAAGTGCCCCTGCCGAGTCTGGGCGTGTTGTTCGGATCCTCAGGTCGCGAGAGGCTGCTCCCGTCACACCGAATGCCTCACACCTTTGTTACGTGCACGGCCTCCCGTGCCAGATCCTGCAGTCCTCATTCAATGGGGGAAGAGCACCCAGCCATGACTGAAGGCAGGGACCTAGGCCAGCCTGCGCTGGCCTGCACCACACTGCTTCAGACTGCCAGGACGCCAAAGAAAGGCGACCAGCCTCTGTCTGGGGTCTTTGTGACTGCACTGGCTGCCACCCCCACGCCCCACGTCCCCAGTCTAGTGAGAGGAGGGGGTTAGTGCCTGGGCGTGACCTCCCTCCTCCCACCTCTGTTCCCTGAAGAGGGGATAGAGGCACGCCAGGTATGCTTTGCCACAAATTCTTCCCAGTTTTCTCCAAGTCTCACTTCTCCCCTCTGGAGGTTGCAGGCACTCGAGATTTCACTTCCCTCAAACACTTGTGGTGACATTAGCAATTTTCATGTGTAGTTTGCAAGAGATTAAGGAAGTCTCTAACGTGCTTTGGTTCTAGTCTATTTTGTCTATGTAGACAGATTTAATTTAGAAGACTAATCAAATCCACCTTTAATTTTTTTTTCCTAGAATATGCTGAGTTTTAGGGTCAGACTCTCCACTGTAATAGTACATTTATGTCTAGCCTCATAACACTTCCATAGTTTACTCTAGAATTTTATTCCAAATAAAATTTAAATAAAATTAAATTACTGCACAGATCACTGTAGTCAAAACTGTATAAAAATATACTAATTAAGGTCACTAATAACCCATTTCTATAGATGCAGAAAAACATGTTATCTATAATGAAGTCATACAACTCAGCACCAGCAGTTGGCGTAATGGCTATGTCATTGGACTCCCATGTAGTCGACCGCCGTTCGAGTCCAGGACCTTGTGGCTTAAACTCACGCCCACCCAAGATCCCAGGAGGAGAATGGAGAAGAGATTGCAGTGTGGCCATCCCCCCTGGGGGGCGATTCCTCGCTGTCTCTCTGGTGAGTGCATCCGTCCTATACCAAAAACCTCTCCAAAAAAAAAAAAAAAGTCAGGGAGCAGCAGTTAGCGTAATGGCTATGTTGCTGCACTCCCATGTAGTCGATCGTGGTTCAAGTCCCAGACCCGACGGCCTAAACTCATGCCAGGTGCACGTGTGCATGCCCAAAATCTCGAGAGGAGAATGGAGGAAAAGGGAGAATGGAGAAGGGATTGCGGCGTGGCCATCCTCCCTTCTCGCTTACTGTCTCTTTCTGGCGAGTGCATGTGCCCTCTAGCAAAAACCTCTGGGTGGGGTGTCATACAACTCATATTTTCAAATTAAATTAATTTACCATGTTAGCATGTAGTGTACTGTATTTAGATGTATCTGTCAGGACTTTCAAAAGTTGTTTCTGGGGGCTAGCAGGTGGCACAGAGGTTAATGCACTGGACTCCCACCAGGTTGACTGCGATCTGAGTCGGACCTGGTGGCTTCAAACTTGTGCTGGGTGCATGTTGCATGCATGCCCAAAATCCTGAGAAGAGAATGGAGAAGGATTAACCTTTTTTTTTTTTTTTTTGGAGAGATTTTCACTGTAGGGCGCATGCGCTCACCAGACAGACAGAGAGAGACATAGAGACAGAAAGCGAGAAATCACCCCCCAGGCGGGATGGTCACGCCGCAATCCCTTCTCCTCCATTCTCCTCTCGGGATCTTGGGCACGCACGCACACGCGCCCGGCGTGAGTTTTAAGCCACTGGGTCCGGGACACGAACTGCGGTCGACTACGTGGGAGTCCAGTGACATAGCCATTACACTAACTGCTGGTTCCCGAGAAGGATTAACCTTGATGTAAACTGTGGACTTAGGTTAGTAAGAACACATCAATACTGACTCACCAGCGGTAATAAATGTGCCAGATAGATAATGTAAATATCAGGGGAACACGTGTGCAGCTGGAAGACGGGCACACACGGAAATGGACCAGCACTTAATTTCCCACATATACAAAGTGACAGAAGCGAAGTATCGTGTACTTAGTGCACACCCCTAAGGAGGATGAATGTGTATGGACACACGCACACAATCTACTGTACATACATACACGCATTGCTCATATTTGCAAAAAGAAATACAGGATCATAGAAATAGGGTGGATGGGGGAGGGAAAGGAGCAAGATTTCTTCTTTTTTCCTTTTATTCATTTATTTTTTTAATTTGACTAGAGAGAGACAAGAGGTTGAGAATGAGAGAGGAAGTAAGAAAGCAAGCCACCAGATTCAGGACTCAAACTGGTCGGCCATGTGGGAGTGCCCAGTGCCTTAACAACCACGCCACCTGCTGGTCCCAAGGGGCAAGATTTCTATGACTAAATTTAAAAATTCTTTTGGCTTGGGACCAGCAGCTGGTGGGGTGGTTAAGGTGCTGGACACTCCCACATGGCCAGCCAGGGTTTGAGTCCTGAATCTGGTGGCTTGCTTTCTTGCTTCCTCTCTCACTCTCAATGTCTGTCTCTGGTCAAATTAAAAATTAAATGAATAAATAAAATAAAATAATTATTAAAAAAATTCTTTTGGCTTTTGAATCATGTACGTGTGTGTGTGTGTGTGTGTGTGTATTTAATTCAAGAAAAGGTAAAGAACAAAAGAGAGCAAATCTGTATACTTAATAAAAATGAAAAAAAAAAAAAAAAACCTAATCACCTGAGAGCAATAACAAAAAAATCAATTCAGGTAGCTTTTTGACATAAGTACCCTGATTCTATTCTTTATTATTAAAAAAATTTATTTTTATCTAACTTTATTTGCCCAGAGAGGGGCCTTAACAGCCCTTGTCAGCACCACCCCACCCAATTCTATTCTTGGAGTGAGATAAAGTAAAAGAACTATAATATTTTTTAAAAATAATTCTTTTATTTAACTAATGCCTCTGCTCCTGACAGGTGGGGGTGAATCAGGGCAACCATTCCTACATCACTCCAGTTCAACAAATGGCAGGACGAGGGAGAGTGGGGCCTGATGTGGATCCTTCCGGGAATGCACATTCCACACTGTCCTTAATTTTGAGGGTATCAGTTACCCACATAAACAATAGCGGGTCTGCTGTAACTCAGTTGTAGCCAGGCTCCCCATACGGTTAGTTCAAACTCATCTCACCCTATAATTCGTTACAGGGAGTAACAGTTTGTGTAATGCCACGGGAAGGCATGTCCACAGCACAACACAGACATCCTTCTGTCCAGGCTTTCATTTCTTTCTGCCTTGGCATCAAAACTCCTGGAATTCTGGGAACCAGCAGATGGTGCTAACGTCACTAGACTATCATGTACTTGACTGCGATCCAAATCCCAGACCCGGCAGTGTAAAACTCCCACCAGGCGCGTGTGCGTGCGTGCCCAAGATCCCAAGAGGAGAATGGAGAAGGGACTGAGGCATGGTCACCGCCCTAGAGGGTGATGTCTCACTTCCTGTCTCTCCAGCAAGTGCACATGCCCTACAGAAATCTAAAAAAAAAAAAAAAAAAAAAAGGAATTCCTGGAATTCTGGAGATGACCCAGTGGTCAGCCTCATCACCAGGCCTAAGCATCAAATGACATCTGCTTTATTCTAATGCAAACATACAGTGAGGACAAAAATGAAGGGTTTCCGGAACAAATGTTTATTTAAGAGTTAAGGGGAAACAAAAACATTAAAGCAGAGAAAGGAGTACATTTACTCAATACAGCTAAATTGTCTTGTTTGGTCTGAAATCTTGAAAAGGTTACCCAACTACTTACCTGAGGCCGGCTCAGGCTGGCCCTGCATCAAGGGGACCTCCATCCATCTTGGAAGACGCCTCCTAGTTTGGGTGACAGGCCTCCCAGGTCCTCCCCAACCTCAGGCTATGCCCATGAGTAACAGCAATACCTTTCCCCCATGGTTAAAAGCCCTCAGACTTTTTCATACCCCCAAAGTTTTCTGTTTCAGGGATGGTCCATTAGTGTTAATTTACCTAAAGACTAGAGACAATTACCAGTAAGGTTAGCTGGAAAAAAAGGGGCCGGGCACTGCCCTGCTGCTACCACCGCTGTGCCCTTCTCCAAGCTTGAATGACTAGTAGAAGAACTAAATCCCATCACCACCAGGCCATGAACCCAATACTACCTTAAGTATTACAACCGTCAAACATACTAGTGAGAGGCATGGTTTTCACCCAAGAGGAGCAAACATATCTTGTGTTTATCACACTGGCAACTTCTCATGGTACAAGAACTATTAGTAAAAAGTACTAGAACGCGTTAGATCAAACAAACTTTCAGGATCCCCTTTCTACAAGAAAAAGATAGGTCCTAGAATCAGATTCCGTATTACCACTACGAGCTATAGCCACAGGCTCTAAGATTAACATGATCATCAACTAGCCATTAGGATCAAAGCTCAGAGCTACACACACGGAGCAGTTGCTCAGCTCCTTAAATCCAAATGTGACGCTCTCTGGATTTCGGGGATCGGCTAAATCAGAACAGAGCCAGAGGACTCAGGCTATCAGTAATTGATTATTCACTAGTTTACAGAGTCCATGAGACTCCAGGAATCTGAAGTATTTCTACTAGCTCTCTTTCAATCTAGGGGGGGGGGAATAATAACCAAAAAATCCCAAGAGAACCATTTATAGATCCCTAGGTTAATTATAGCCTTTCTAGAGAATGTTAAAAAACAATCATGTTAAATTGGAGACAAGCGTTTATCCTTAAATCTCTGATGGATTCACTACATTTCCTTCTAGAACCTAGAATCTTGTATTCCAAGCCCAAAATATACCTTGCATTGTGGTGACTGTAATCCTTTCCCTGGGATTAAAAGGTATTTTCTTTCCTTGGCAGAACTGAAATAAACGAAAAACGTGTCATTCCGGCGCTTGACTTCCTACGAACTGCAAGACAACGGAGTGGAAAGAACACTAGCTTTGGAATCAGGATGCTCAAATCTTGCCCTGTATTAATGCACCAAACCCCTATATGTCTTTTACTCTGTGCCAGGCAGGCCTAAACTGTTTCCATTCTCCTCCTACTCATTCTGCTAAAAGCTGGAACGCTAGCACGGAGCGAGGTAAGACGTGATGTCACAAAAACACGGACACTAATAGGATAGCCATAGCCCTGGAATTCTCATTTTGAATGAAATAAAATGAATCTTTAAGGTTGAAATACCAGTGATAACCTGGGAGGTATTTTAGGGAAAAGGAAACTTTGGCGGGTATGCCTCAACTCCCCTCAGTAAGAGGCCGAACCACCCAGTCCCTGGCCGTTGCTGTCTGCTGCCAGCAGAGGTCCCCATGTCCCTATGAGCACACTAGCCCCACCTGGCCAAGAGCGGATGGAGAGGCAAAGTCCGTTTTCTCTACTCCCCGTAGTAACACATGCCACACCTTCTATCACAAGGTTGCAGTCCTTTCCTTTATTGGGTTTCTGAATTTTAGAAAGTGAAAGTAAAGCAATCATTAATGGTTCAGATAAAAGAAAGTATCTTTACCTGAGTTACCCATCAGGTCTAGTCTGACCTGCCCTAGTTCTTCCCAGAACAAGCTCCGGGATCTAAAAGACTATGTCCACACTGTTCCATGTAGCCGTCTCTACCACACTGAGAACAGTTCTCATATTTATGTACACAGATTCTCACCCACAATTAGCTCTCTCCCTGGAGCAGACTTCTCTGCAGAATGGATTCTTTGGGGCCCAATAAGATGGGAGCTTCTAGCACAGCTTTCCCCACACTCAAGGTATTGATGGCTTTCACTCATGTGAGTACCTCAAGAGCTGATCACAAGCTCTGCTCATTCAGACACCTGCCTTTCCTCAGGTTGGATTCTTTGTGGGGATGCAAACCCAAGTAAGGCTCTCAAAAAACAATGCTTTTGCCACACTCAAAACAAATATACAAGTTTCTACCAGTATGGCTTCTCTGATTTGTGAAAAAGTCAAGAGTTTCATTAGATGTTTTTCACGTTTCTGGGCTGTGCTTCCCCCAATATCTAATGAGCTGTGCATACTGCCTCAATACTGACTCTGAAAACATTTCGGCTGTTTTCTGACACGAGTTCTCTTGCCAGGAGGAGGGCTGAACGCTGCTGGAATGGCACTTACACTCACTGCATGTGTGAGGCTCCCATCTGTGTAAATCTCGTGAGTGATCAAATTTGAGCTCAGACTACATGTTTTCCAAAATGCAGGGAATCTCCAGGTTCTCTCTGAAGTGAGTGATACGGTTTCTGCCAGGGCAGCTCTCTGGGCAAAACACTGCTCACACTTCCTATGACGGGTTCACTGGTTCCGCTTTGATGTTTGAGCACTGAGAAGTGTGAGAATTGCCTACAGTCTTGGTCTTATTGAGTTCTCTGACATGGAAGTACGTGTAAATTTTGTGGGATCAGAACTTCTTGTCCAGTCAAGACATCTGCGAGGCTTCCAATGCATGGGGAGGGCTGAGTTCGAGACTTTTCTCATCCACATTACAGACTCGGGGCTTGTCACCAGTGTGTACTGCCTGGTGAAGAAGGGCAGAGCTCTGGTGGAAGCTTTTATCACAGACGCCGTATTTGTAATGTAGTTCCTCTGTCTGAGTTCTCATTTTCTGCTGGGCAACAAAGTCCATACCTAGGAGGAAGCCACTCTCACAAGTGGACCACTGATGTGGCTTCTCTTCCACGTGAATTCTTTGATGCACAATAAGGTCTGAGCTACAGTTGAAACTCTTCTCATATTCAAGGCATTTAAAAGTGTGGGTATGAGTTGCCTGGTGTCTAATCAGGTTGGCACTCCGAGTAAAACTCCTCATACATTCCAAGCATTTATACGGCTTCTCGCCTGTGTGGACTCGCTGGTGCACAATGAGGTCTGATTTCTGGCCAAAGCATTTCTCGCAGGCACCACACTTATAGGGCTTCTCCCCAGTGTGGACTCTCTTATGCACGATGAAGGCTGAGCGGTGTCGGTAGCTTTTCTCACACTTATTACATTTGTAGGGCCTTTCACCGGTATGAGTTCTCTGGTGACTAATAAGATCTGATTTTCCACTGAAAGCTTTTTCACACTCCAGACACTTAAACGGCTTCTCACCTGTGTGAGTTCTTCGGTGCCTTATGAGGTTTGTGCTTCGGCTGAAGCACTTATCACACTCACTACAGAGATAAGGTTTTTCGCCTGTATGGCTTCGCTGATGGACAAGCAGATCAGAACTCTGACCAAAATTCTTGCCACAAATATCGCACGTATAGAATTTTTTACCTGCATGTGTTCTCTGGTGTCCTGAAAGGGCTAAGTGATGCCAAAAGCTCTTCTCACATTTGCTACATTTATAAGGTTTCTCATAGTTGTGAATCCTCTGGTGTGAAGTAAGATCTGAGCTTTGGATGAAGGTTTTCTCACACATATCACATCTATAAGGTTTCTCCCCAGTATGGGTTCTCTCACACATAATAAAAGATAGGTTTTCACAGAAGTTTTGCTTGCTTTCAAGGCACTGATATATCTGATCATCTATTTGGGTGAGCTCATGCACACGAATAAAAATCTTTTTACCCTTCTGAGGGCATACATGATAAATTTTCCTTTTCTGAGTTCTCTGGCTACATCTTTCTTCTGAAGTGTACATTTTCTATGGCTCTCTCCTACGATGTTCTCCACTGGCCTCTTGACCCATCACTGTCATCACAGTGACTTTCTTGGTAAGAACTTGGAAGAGCCATATGTTTCAGGCCTTTCCGCCATAAGCAATTCACCTCCATAAATTTTCAGCATCATACTCATTAATTCCTTATGTATTTCCAATCCTGTGAGACAAAGTAGAAATATTATTTATATTCCTATAAATAGGAATATAATCTTCAAAATTAAAATCATTGCAGAAAAGACAAACTCTATATTAGAATCTTTAAGTCTTCTAGGTTTTACATGGATTGAAAATAGTTTTCCTTGGGACTAGCAGATGGCATAATGGTTATATTGCTAGACTCTCACATGGCCAACTGCAATTCAAGTCTCAGACCCAGAGGCTTGAGGCTCATGCTGGCAGCCTGTGTGTGCATGCCTAAAATCCCAAGAGGAGAATGGAGAAGGGACTGTAGCCTGGCCACCCCCCGGGGATGGTTTCTCGCTTTCTGTCTCTCTGGCGAGTGCACATACCCTATAGCAAAAATCTCTTGGGGTGGGGGTCTGGGGAGGGAAAGGGCCAGCAGGTGGTGTGGTGGTTAAGGGCGCTAGACTCCCACGTGGCTGACCACAGTTTGAATCCTGAACCTGGTGGCTTGCTCTCACTGTCTCTCTCTCTGACCAAATTAAAAGAAATAAATAAAGTTTAAAAAATATTAAAAAAAAAAAAAAGTGGGACCAGCAGTTGGCATAATGGCTAAGTCGCTGGACTGCCATATAGTCGACCATGGTTTGAGTCCCAGACCCAGTGATTTAATCTCACGCCGGGTGTGTGCATTTGTGTGTGCATCCAGGATCCTGAGAGGAAAAGGGATTGAGGCGTGGCCATCCCCCCTGCGGGGTGATTTCTTGCTTTCTGACTCTCTGTCTCTGACTTTCTGACGAGGGCATGTGCCCTATAGCAAAACAACCTCTCCAAAAATAAAAAAATAAAAAAAGATATCTGGTCCAGGGCTGGAACTGTACCTGTGGGTTACAGCGATGTGGGGTCCACCTGCCTTAATGACTATGCTACTTACTGCCTCAGAATATAACTTCTATTAGGGTTAGGTCTTAGTCTTTTATGTTCTGCCAATATGCCTAGCACCTACATTTGTTTAATGGATGAAAAACAGGAACAAATATGGAGATCAGCAGGTGGCATGGTGGTTAAAGCACTGGACACTCCCACATGGCTGACCAGGGTTTGAGTCCTGGAGCTGGTGGCTAGCTTTCTCACTTCCTCTCTCTCTCACTCTCACCCTCTGTCTCTCTCTGGTCAAATTTAAAAATGAATGAATGAATAAATAAAATAATTATTTTTTATGTTGTTTTAAAAAAATGAACAAATACCAGGACAAAAAGGGTTAGTAATCCTCCTCCTCAGAGCCCTAGTAGCAATACAACAGGCTAGGCCTATAGCCCTCCCTGGCCCACCTGGCAAACCCAAACACACCCTTCACACCTTAGCTCCAGGATACTCTCCTCTAAGTGGCTTCTCTTACCCTGTCCAAGGAAAAGACGGGTACTCTCCTCACACCTAGTGTCAGGGGCTAAGGACTGACAGGCTGAGGCATAAACCTTGAGAGCTCAATGTTGTTATTTATTTATTTTTAGAGAGACGTGCTCAGTGGGTAGACACAGAGACAGAAAACGAGAAATCATCCCCGCCAGGATATCCGCAATCCCTTCTTCATTCTCGAGATTTTGGGAACCCACGCGCACACATGCACACATGCACAAGCCTGGCATGAATTCAAAGCCACTGGGTCCAGGGCTCGAACTAAGGTCAGCTATGTGGGGGTCCAGTGACATAAGCACCATACCATCTACTGGTCCCTAAAGTTATTCTTATAGTTGAAGGATGTATATGACCATTAGACAAAGTCAGTGAAACATTATCTAAAAACAGATAATACTGGTGCTGGCAGGTGGTGTAGTGGTTAAGGGCACCAAACTCCCAAATGGCTGACCACAGTTCAAGTCCTGGACCTAGCCTCTTGATTTCTCACTCTCTCTCTCTCACTCTGTTCCTGTCTTGTCAAATATAAATAAAGTTAGATAAAATAATTCTTTTTTTTTTTTTTTTGGAGAGCTTTTTGCTACAGGGCGCATGTGCTTGCCAGAAAGACAGAGACAGACAGAGAGACAGAAAACGAGAAATCACCCCTCAGGGGGAATGGCCACACCACAATCCCTTCTCCTCTCGGGATCTTGGGCACACACGCACATGTGCCCGGTGTGCATTTATGCCACCGGGGCCAGGACTTGAAACGCAGTCAACTACATGGGAGTCCAGCGACATAGCCATTACGCCAACTGCTGGTCCCTGCAAAATAGGTTTTTAATAGCAATGTTTGCAACTTACAGATAAAGACACTTAATGCTTAGGGCAGATAGATAATCACCCAAGAACGCAGAGAGTAAGCGGCAGAGCCGATTAACTATCTACCTTCTGACTCTACAGGCTGCCCAAGCATTGGGCGTACAGCCTTAGATGTGCTAAAAGTCAACCAAGAAGCAATACCACAAGCCGATCACGAACATGCATGTGTAATGAAAAAAGCAGCAAATAAACTGGCAAGACAGGGCCTAGCTTTGAATCACTCTACTATCTTAGGAGATAAGGAAAGGACGCTGTTGGGACAAGCAGATGGCATAATAGTTACGTTGCTGAACTCCCACATAGTCCACCAGGGTTTTAGTCCAGGACCTGGTGGCTTAAAACCCAGGTTGAATGCATGTGCCTGCGCGCCCCTCAAAACTCCAAGAGAATGGAGAAGGGGTTGCTGTGTGGCCATCCCCTCACCTTGATTTCTTGCTGTCTCTATGGAGTGCATCTGCCCGGAGGTGTAAAAATCTCTAAAAAAGAAAAAAAAAAAAGGCCATTGTCTTTTCTCATTTATTTTCAGTATTTTCTTGTCCTCTGTTCCCAAATCCACATTTACATAGAAAGAGCCTGGTATGCGACTTACCACCATTAAGTTAGATTCAAGACTGTCTTTCTTGTGGTTCCAAGAGTTCTCTAGTCCAGAACTACTCACGACACTCAATGCTTCTCGCTCCTGGAGGAAAAATCAATAATGCAGATGACGATGTAAACTGACAGTTCTTCTAGAGTTGGCCATCCACCTCCCGATCTATTTACTCTCTAATCTGGTCAGCACCCTTCAACCACATTCTTTCCTCCCTCCACTTCCCCTTACGTTGCTCCTCCTACAAACGGTACTTGCCACTGGTGCAGTCAGCTTCTTCCCAACAAGCGCCAGGCAAGATGCTTCTACTTCATAGCAAAGCCCCGGGTCCTGTTTTTCTGGTTTATTTTCAGTTTCTTTACCTGCTAACTGTATCGTTTCACCCTCTAAGGTCAAGGGCCCAGGACAAAACCCAAGATATACATGATAAGTGTACACAATACCAAGGGATATGTAATTCAAGGTTCCAAAAAGGAACAGTTGTGGAACGACTAAAGAAATCAACCTGCACACATCCCACTGCAAGAGAACAGACCGCAGCACGGGCAGAGGGGGCGGGGCCACATCCGTGGGCCTGCCCCCCACATACACAAACACGAACCCCGCTTAGAAAGTGCCGCGGGGGTTCACTATTATCATCTCCAGGAGCCCCCGTACCGACCGCGTCTTCCAACTTTTCACTGGCCCTCTTCCAGGCCATGCGCCGTCGGGGGGCCCAGGCCCTGCTCC